GATGGATGGATGGATAGATAATGATGGATGGATAGATAGATGATAGAGAGAAATGATGAATGGATGGATAGATGATAGAGATAGAGATGATGGATGGATGGATGGATGGATAGATAATGATGGATGGATAGATAGATGATAGAAATGATGGATGGATAGATAGATAATGATAGATGGATAGATAAATGATAGAAATGATGGGTGGATAGATAATGATGGATGGATAGATAGATGATAGAAATGATGGATGGATAGATAGATAATGATAGATGGATAGATAAATGATAGAAATGATGGGTGGATAGATAATGATGGATGGATGGATGAATATATAGATGATAGAGAGAAATGATGGATGGATGGATAGATGGATAGATAGAGATAGAGATGATGGATGGATGGATGGATGGATGGATGGATGGATGGATAGATAGATGTTAGAAATGATGGATGGATGGATGGATAATGATGGATAGATGAATATATAGATAGATGATAGAGAAAAATGATGGATGGATGGATAGATGGATAGGTAGAGATAGAGATGATGGATGGATGGATGGATGGATGGATGGATGGATGGATAGATAGATGTTAGAAATGATGGATGGATGGATGGATAATGATGGATAGATGAATATATAGATAGATGATAGAGAAAAATGATGGATGGATGGATAGATGGATAGATGATAGAGATAGAGATGATGGATGGATAGATGGATGCATGGATGGATAGATAGATAATGATGGATGGATAGATAGATAGATAATGATGGATGGATGGATGAATATATAGATAGATAGATGATAGATGATGGATGGATGGATGAAAAGAGACAGACAGACAGACAGACAGATGGCAGATAGACATCCAGGTGGCCCATCCCAGGAAGACAATCCTGATGTCTTCTTCTAACAGGTCTAGATTCCAGACATCTGACTTGACTTCCCCTCCTTTCCCCTGGCAGGAAAGGAAATGATTGAGACTTATTTCGACTTCCGTCTCTACCGAGTCTGGAAAACCCGCCAGCATTCCAAGCTGTTCGATTACGACGACATTTTATGAGGGCCACCAGGACGGGGGCCAGCAGGAATCTCCACGGGTATCCCGAGCAGGCGGGCGTCGCCAAGAGCGGGAGATCTTTTTCACGGTTGGCGAGGAGGCCCAGAGAGGCTCCCAAGAAGCCAGTAGAGGGCCTTCAAGAAGTCCGCCGGGCAACTTGAGGCACGAGTTGGATGGAGCACGGCGGACGGGGGTGGGCGAGGTGGCATGTCTTCAGGGACCGAGGTGGTTTCAGATGGCAAGACGCCCAACGCCATGACAGGTTCTTCTCCGAAGACATTTGAAGCTCAGGTTTCCTACAACCGATCATCTCGTTTATCTCTACTTAGTTGTCATGAAGGGCGAAGAAGGACTTCTCTGGTCCAGCGCTTGGAGAGGATTGATCAAACCCTTCGGTGGGTTTGAAGAAAGCCAGACCTCAGAAAAAGTCTCATCCATTTTAAGAACATGTGTGAATTCTCTCTCTCACACACAAACACACACCCATACAACCCATACACATCTACAGAAGTGCAATTTTCTTTCTTTCTTTCTTTCTTACAAACAAAGAGGAAATATTTAATCAACTGTTGCCGTACCGCGCACACCGATGTCTGGTAGATGAGATATTATTATTTTTTTGAGTCTGCTCGATATTGAATATATTCGACATCGTAATATATCTGTCTCTCCATATCTATATTTATATCTATGGGTAGCTAGAGATGACCTCTGTCCAAATTCTTTCTGCGACTAGCTGCAAAGCTGTCGAATCCTTCACTTTGGATTCCAGCAAAACTCTGGAGGGACACTTCAACTGTAGAAAGTCCCTTTAAAGGACAAGACCTCATTTTTATTTTTTATTTTCAATTTAAGGAGCAGCTTCCTTAATATAGTTGGGCAAAAAAAAAAAAAAAAACCCCGGAGTTTTTTTCCAGCGGTTATCTGCTGATAGAGGCCGAGGTGGACCTCGGTCAATTTATAGATATATAGATATATAAATAGATATAAATATAAATAGTTTGCAGATTAGAAAACCAATAGCCATGTTTAACAGATTGTCTCACCGCAGTTCATTTTGGGA